AGTCATTCTAGTCTTACTATGAAGACCTTTGAGAAGTATATCCAACTCATCTTGGAAGTGTCTTCTTTGTACATAAGTCACAATGCATCTTTCTGCCTCTTGTAGTATGTCGATATCAAGAGATGCAGACTTGAGGTTTACTCTGGACCTCATTTTTCTCATCTTGTCATCAACAAGCTGCTCTTGTTTTTTAGGATCTACATCTGCAGAGATACTTTCTCGCACTTGTTTTCGCAGATTGGCCCAATGTTGTAAATTTCTCTTACCAGTTAAGATCCATCCAACTGTCCGCTTCAGTGACATCCAGCTTGAAAAACGAGAAATGAGACTACTCATGAAGCTAGATTGCTCATCTATCAGAACAACATTTGAGAGCTTTTTCACTTCAGGATCCTCATCATGAATCCTCTCTAAGACTACTTGATTCTCTGGCCATTCCGATTCTGGAGACCACAGAAAATCAGGACCAGTAACCCATCTCTTGCATTTTATGAAGTCAGTTATTATCAAACCCCTTGAAGCATCATCTGCTGGGTTTAATTTCGTATTTATGTACCTCCACTGAGACACTTCTGATCCCTCACGAATTGTAGACACACGGTTAGAGACAAACGTATGGAAGCGTGTAGTCTCATTAGTGATGTATCTCAGCACTGACATGCTATCTGTCCAAAAATAGGACTTGTCAATGTTGTAATCCAACTCTCTCTTCAGTTTCTCATTCATTCGTACTGAAAGCGTTGCTGCAGTCAGTTCCATGCGGGGTATCGTCACCTTTTTAAGGGGTGCAACCCTAGATTTTCCCAGAAGTATGGAGCAATGAATTTCTCCTCTCTTATTGACCAGACGCAGATACGATACCATCCCATATCCTTGTTCACTGGCATCACTGAAATTATGTACTTGACATGAAAGTACTTCGCCAAAATGTTTAGGTTTATAACACCTCGCAACTGAGAATGACTCCAATTTTGGCAAGCCAGACAGCCATTTATGCCACACCTGAAGACCAGCCCCTTCAATAGGCCTATCCCATCCACTGCCTTGCTGCCACAAGCTTTGTAAAAGTATTCTTGCTGGGAGTATAAATGGTGACACAAGGCCGAGAGGATCATAGATGGAACTGACGATGGACAATATTCCCCTCCTAGTGGTTGGTCGGTCTTGCACAATAATTTTGAAGCCAAGCATGTCTGGTTCAACCAACCAAAGCACGCTCAACAGGAAGATCATCATAGTCGAGGTTAAGTTGCTTAACTTCCTTAGAACGCTCTTCAGTCTGAATCGATTCCAAGACAACGCGACTGTTACTCATCCATTTTGTTAGGTTAAACCCACCTCGTTGACACAGATCTCTCAGGTCATGTACCAAACTTATAGCCTTAGTTTCAGATTCTACAGACTTTAAACAGTCATCAACATAGAAGTTTCTGAGGACTGTATTCACGACATCTGCACCAAAGAAGTTTTTGTTGTCTTCAGCGGTTCTTTGAAGTGCAGTATTGGCACAGCTGGGGGAAGATACCGCCCCAAACAAATGAACTGTCATGGCATATACTTCCGGTTGTCTGTCTAAGTCACCATTAGGCCACCACAAAAACCGCAGACAGTCACAGTCACCTTTTGGGATCCATACCTGATGAAACATTGCTTCAATGTCAGCCATCAAAGCGACGGGCTCTTGTCTGAAGCGTAGCAACACACCAAGTAAGTTGTTTGTTAAATCTGGCCCTTGTAACAGATGATCATTCAATGCTGTTCCCTGGAACCTGGCTGCACAGTCAAAAACAACACGTATCTTCCCTGGTTTTCGTGGGTGGTAAACACCGTGATGAGGAACATACCAAACTTTACCATCACTTCTACCAAGTTTATCTTCATGAACTTTCACTGCATATCCTTTACTAATAATACTTTCCATGAAGGCTGTGTAATCCATGTAGAATTC